AACATAGAATACGACCCAGCAATTCTACTCCTGGATATATACTCAAAAGAACTGAAAACAAGGTCTCAAACCGTTATTTGTATGCCCATGTTCACAACAGCATTACTCACAATAGCCAAAAGGTGGAAAAACCCCAAGTGTCCTTCAACAGATGAATGGATAAACAAAATGTGGCAGACAGATACAACGGATTATTATTCAGCCATAAAAAGGAATGAAGTTCTGATACATGCCACAACATGGATAAGTGAAATAAGCCAGACACAAAAGGACAAATATTATATACTTCTACTTACATGAAATACCTAAAATAAGCAAACTCATATAGAAAGTAGATTAGAGGTTACCAGGGGCTGGGGGAAGGGGAACCTGGGGAGTTATTGCTTAATGGTTACAAAGTTCCTGTTTGGGGTGAGGAAAAGTTTTGGAAATAGATAGTGGTGATGGTTGAACATGATGAACGTAATTAATACAACTGAATTGTACACTTTAAAAGTGGTTAAGGGCCGGCCCCGTGGCTTAGTGGTTAAGTGCGTGCGCTCTGCTGCTGGCGGCCCGGGTTCGGATCCCGGGCGCGCACTGACACACCGCTTCTCCGGCCACACTGAGGCCGCGTCCCACATACAGCAACTAGAAGAATGTGCAGCTATGACATACAACTATCTACTGGGGATTTGGGGGGAAAAAATAAATAAATAAAATCTTTAAAAGTGGTTAAAATGGTAAATTTTGTTACATATAGTTTACCACAATTTAAAACACCAGCAATTTAATATACCAAAACTCACTGAACTGTACAGTTTAAATGGGTGAATTGTATGATATGTGAATTATATCTCAATAAAGCTGTTAAAAATATACTCTAATTTTATGCCAAAATAGTGATATACACTCAGAAAATTATTCCAAATGATCTTAGTATGACAGTATTGCCTATACATCCTTAACAGGATATATTCTAAAACTAAAGAATTACGAGCCATCTTAAACTTCATTATTCTTAAGAAACACCTGAGAAAACAGGTCAAGAAGGAAAGAACTGGAGCTAATACTTTTAAAAAGCAAAAAAAAGACATATACCAGAATTGGGTGCATAGAGCCTCCCCTTCCCGCTCCCCATAAATTCCTACATTTGAAATATATGAGGAAGTTCATGACAATAATAATACACAACAGACAAGGTGGCACTAAAAGGAACAGAGCTTTCTTGCCCCTTTTTTAAAATGAATAGATTCCCACAAGGCACAATGTCAACACATAACAGAAAAATCAACTCTATTACCTATTTTGGGATTCCAGCTATCTCATTAAAGAGAACTATCTTAAAATAATTAAACAACAGTTACCAAAGACTAATACATGGAACCATAAAATTTGAGGGAAACTTGATAATCTTCTGTCTCCAATCTGCCCATTTTACAAGGGAACTAAAGCCCAGGGGGTTAAGTGCCTTGTTTAAAGACACATAGCTAGGAAGGAGCAGAGCCAATGACAATCCATGATTCAGTCAGTGTTTCTTTCCATGACACTTTATGCGATTGTAAGCAAATAATTGAATTCACTTGAGCTGCTAAGTATCAAGAACTGATGTGGGGCTGAAAATAGGAACATTCAGACCTTGAGAGATGCCACATTATCCTCATCTTGCACAGCCAATGAACTCCCTCCCTCCCCCACACTCCCTGCAAAACGCTAAAGCAAATGGGTTTGTTCTCAGTATAAACTGATGGGCTCCAAACTTATGGAGTCCTGACAAGGGTGACGGCAGGGGTTACAGAGCACAAGCAAAGTCTCGATACTGCACAGTGAGTTCCCCAATCCCCTTTCCCTGGAAGATAAGGTTAAAGGAAATCTCTTAAAAAATAAAACAAAGAGAAGACACAAAAAAGAAAGATGTAGAGGATCAAACCAGAACCAACTTTCAGTTAGTAAGAACATCAGAAGGATAATGGAAAAAAAAGAGAGAGAGAGAGAAGAAACGCTCAAAGAAATAACAAAAAATGTCCCAGAACTGAAAGAAATGAGTATGCCAATTGAAAGGAAACCTCCAGAAAACCTATAAGCTATCAAAAAAAAGAATCACATCAGACTTCTAACAGTACAAACGATCAGAAAATGGAGCAATGCTCTCAAAATTGAGGAAAAAATTATTCAAACCTAGAATTTGTAACCCAACTATCAATTAAAGACATTTTTCAGATATGCAATGTTGAAAAACAAATCCCATCCATTCCTTCTCAAAGCAAACTGGAGACTGTGCTACACCAAAACAGAGGAAGTATGTCAAGAGGACATGAGTTAGAAGAAACCAAGTGTCTAACACAGAAAAGAAGGGAATCCTCAAGATGATGATAAAGGAAAGTCTCAGGAGCACAGCTGTGTAGCAGAGAAAGGCAGAAACCAGTCAAGGATGGAGCAGTAAGAGCGCTCCAGAAGGAAGATGCTTAAGAAAAAATTTTTTTACATCTGAAATTGATGGGTTATGTGACCTGTTTAATCACACTAGAGAGTTTAAACTGTGTTTGAGTAAAGAATTAGTAATACATCATAGAATACTAAACAAAAAATAAAACAAATAATTAACTCCAGGAAAAACAAAACTACACAATAATGGCGATTCAAATACAAAAATACTTACCTTACCATAATTATATAAACACTAAATACTTATTTAACTAAAAATTACAATAACAGAACTGGATGAATGAGGGGGAAATAAAAACATTTGTGGACAGAGGTATGGAGGAACAGACTAGAAGGCCAGTAGAAAGTGTCTAAAATGGGGAAAAGGAGATCAAGAAATAAAGGTACATATGTTGTATGTTAATTCAGAAGTACGAAGTATAGCTCTAATGGCTGTCAACTTGCCTCTGAGGAGCAGGAAGCAGAGGTGTGGAATAGGAAGCCAACAAGACACAAAGCTAGGAAAACTAAATAGAAGCCATCTGGAAAAAGAAAAATTAAAGAAACACAAGTGACATTTCCCACAAGGGCAAAAGCAAGTGTGAATGAGTTGGAAAACGGCAAAACAAAAGAGGAAATAAACAAATGGAAGCCTGGGAAGATATGAGACTGTGGACCCATCACTGCACTCCAAACTGGGGGCCAATAAATTCTAATCTTTCTATTTTTCATAGCCACTGTCTCTGCCCCCTCCACCAATTCCTTTCCGAGCTATCCAAAGCATCCTGTTTTGTCATTTCACTTAGACCTAAGTTTATAGAATACCATCACATGTTCCAAAGTTACTCACTTGCTAATCAATATTCCACTGAAATTCCCAGGTTCTAAAGTTAATGATTTCTCCTTGTCTGAAGAAAAACATCTGATTAAAATAACACTCTTTAAATGTAAAAGAGAGGTGGCCATTAACAACCAATCCTTAAAATTTTGCCCCCACTCCTCTTTATTTATTTGATTAGTTTAGGTAATTCAAAGAACATTCTAACTTCTGTCTAGACCAGTGGTTGTTAATCTTTTGGGAGCCAGGGTCCCCACTAAGAATCTCATGAAAGCTCTAAACTTGCTTTAAAAAAAAAAATCATATCAATTGCAGGGGTACAGAAACCCTTAATAAGGTTCTGTTTTAGACTCGGGCACCACATTTGTATTCATGACTATGCCAGCAGTTTGAAATTACAATCTGTATGTAGGTACCTATTCCCTTTCTCTTGAGGAATAGACTGCAACCTACTCCTCGATTCCTAAAAGAAACTAAATCAGACCCACAACCAAAATCCTGCTGAGCCACCTATTTGACACTGGACAACTATCTTTAATCTCTCCAGGTCTCAACATCCACAGGGCTGTTCGGAGCACAAAATAAAATAACGTATGCCTAATATATATTAAAAGGTACAATTATGTTCTATTATAATCATGATCGTCCCCGAGTTTTCTTTTTTTAATTTCCCCATACATCTTTATTCTCATAGGCCCTGTATAGAACAGGCCTTGAATGACCGTCCATTTAACATCAACACCTCCCTAGTGCCTACTATGTGCCAAGCATTGCCCTAAAGGTTTAACATGGATCATCCTATATACTCCTATCAATACCTTAACTCCGCCTTACTGATGAAATAAAGTTTCACCTACCTCAAATCTCACAGCTTATAAACGGCAGAGCTGTGATTCAACCCCAGGCAAACTGACTCAAGATCCTGTGCACACCCACCCTTAATCCCTTTTTCCTCACCCTCTACACCCAATCACTAAAGTTGTGTTAAATCCAAAATATATCTAATGCATTATTTATCTCAAAAGAGCAAAAACACGAGAATATGTTGTTGAAAGCGTTACAAATTTTAAGCCATAGTACCAACGCCCTGTAAGAAATTTAGAATTCCCAAGATTCTGTTTAAAGAAAAAAAAAGCAAATCAGAGAAGCTTCCAAAGAGCGCTGGGAGTGGGGAGTGGAGTGTGAGGAGGAGGGGCAGTGACAAACGCCTCAAAGCGGGGGGACTTCCAGCGTCACGTGCGCGGCCTGTCAGGCAGTTGCAAAAGCGGCTGCCCCTGCTCGGGTCCGCGGACGCCTCCGACGGTCACCCGTCACCGCAGAAAAAGCCCACCGCGGCGCTGCGTCAGTCTCCGCTGGGTCCCACCAACCTCCAGCCCGGGAAGGGGCCGCCTCCGGCGAGGCGGAGAACCCTCGGGGAAGCACCCCGCGGGACGGGGCTGCGCGGGCGCGGCGCAGGACTCCGGGACAGGCCGGGCCCGCGGGCGCGGACCGTCGGGAGCCGGCCAGGAGGAAGAGG